CCTCAGTGATGCCATAACACTTTATTCATCTTACTGGAGGTCATTTAACACACTGTATGACAGTTAGTTCTATCTTGATAAAATGGGGGTGCTTTGAAAAACCTATTCTACTTATCTTTGGCCAATGGTAGATATTCAATAAATGTTTACTGCATTGACAGAGATTAACTAGAGTAGATTTTGAAAGCTTGGGTTCTGAGAGTAGTACTAAGTTCAACCCCTGTTCCTCTCCTAATCAGCCGCTTCTTAAAGTGTCTGCGCTTCAGGCTTATAATTTGTAAAAACAGAGCTAAAAACATTAACCTTACAGGGTTGCTGTGAAAATTGAATGATGGGTATAAAGCTGCTTGGCACAATATCTTGTAAACAATAAGCTGTAAGTAAAAGTTAGCTATTACTATCATCATCATTATTATTTCTGGACTGTATTCATTTAAAGGATTCATTCATTTTAATTGAGTAAACAATCAGTATGTATCACCAACATAGGAAAAAAAACTTCCATGAGCCCCCAAACATAATATCATATCTCGTAGCTGTTTCCTCTCTGTCTCCTCCTAATGTAGGATGTTTATTTCCCAGAACTGTGCCAAATACTGCTTCCCTCCCAGGTCTGTGACAGAGGTGGAGGACAGAGGTTCTGGACCACTGTGACAGGGTAAGCAGGTCGCTAGTGCATTCTATCTGACCAAATTCAAGTTGTGTGTGAAACGCATCACTATGGTTCCCAGGAAGAAGACACAGATGGATTCTCTGGGTTGTGGGGAGAGGGTGTTTCTAGACTTGCAGGTACTATCTTGAGGGCGTGTGGATGTGAGTGACAAAATAAAAGAGATCATGTTCACTATTAACCCTCGGCTGAATGTCTAGTGTTAACCCTTGGAAAACAAGAGAAAGACACGCAGGCAAAAACAGAAAAGATTGTATGCCTTAGCTAGTTAGAACACAGAGGTCTCTTACCTTCTATTGAAAAAGAGGTGTTTTACCAGGTTAAAGAAACTGAATTACCCACTTCTCTTTCCTTTTTCTTTAATGCCAATGTTTTTCCAATTTTAGATATTTATGAGTTGGTTCTCCACACCCAGGCTCACAAAGGGCATTTAAGGGCTAAAACTGTCACTACCACCAGACGCCTGAGGCCCCTGGTTGAATAAAAAGTGGCAATGCAGAGAAGAGGCGGAAAAGCACTCTCCATGAAAACACTGAGTTGCTACCCAAGCTCAGCACAAGCCGCTGATAAGAAAGCAGAGTCATTCCTAAAGGGAACTAAATGCAAACTTGCTGGGTACCGTAGATCCCCTGCAAAGATAACGGTCAACAATCCTCCCACGCCTGTGTGCACACATTGTTCCTCCCACCCAGAGGCGGCTTCTCACTCCCCCCGCCTTGAATCTGGCGGGACTTGTGACTTGCTTTGGCCAACAGAATGTGACAGAAATGATACTTTGTTCCAGGCCTAAGCCTTAACAGCACTTGCTGTTTCTGTGTTTACTCTCTTGGAAGTTGGAGCTGGACTCCTGAATGATGGGACAGCACCTGGAGAGAGGGGGGTCTTGTGGAGGAGGATCAAGACATTCTGGTCCACAGCTAGTACCAAAGTCCCAGTTGTGTGGTGTGAGGACACCTTGGACCCTCCAGTCCCAGTCAAACCACCCCAGCTGATACCACAAGGGGCACACATGAGCCCTTCCCAAATTTCTGACTCACAGAATTGAGAGTAATAAAATAATTGCTATTTTAAGTCACTAGGTTTGGAGATGATTTGCTACATAGCAATAGAAAATTAAAACAGGCATCTTATGGCTCTCTCCATCCCTCTGTCAATGGAGTGGCTCCAATGGCTAGATGCCTGGGTTTCCACACCTTCTTTTCAGCACCATGCTCCATTTATTCCTAGAGCCCTCCTAATGATTATTCCGAAGCACAAAGTAAATACCTTATATAAAATGTTAACATGAGAGAATACTATGCCAGTCGCTAAGGGGGATATATACTTCAGCCCTGCAGTGGGGCTTGTTTCAAGCAAGCTTGTTTCATATGAAAAGGTGCTGCTGGAAAGCATTTCTTCAAGTGGGGTTTCAGGATTTTGTCTAACTTTTGACACTAAAGACTAGACAGAAGAATAGTCACCCCTAGACATCTGTGTGTGTGTGTGTGTGTCTGTGTATGTTTCTATTATAGAAAATTAAAGCCAAGTCTAAGGAAATGCTTGGTAAATATTAACGAAGACCTTATGTACTATGAATTTTTATGTTTTAAAATATTTTATTTATTTATTTTAGATGCAGGATCTCATTGTCACCCAGGCTGGAGTGCAGTGGTGCAACCATAGCTCACTGTAACCTTGAACTCCTGAGCTTAAGTGATTCTCCCACCTCAACCTCCCATAGCTAGGGCTATAGGCATGTGCCACCACATCCAGCTGATTTTTCATTTTTATTTTTTGTAGAGATGGAAGTCTTGCTGTTTTGCCCAGGCTGGTCTCAAATTCTTGGCCTCAAATGATCCTCCCACCTTAGCCTCCCAAAACACTGGGATTACAGGTGTGAACCATCGTGCCTGGCCAACACTATGGATTTTAAAGAGTAAGTCTCTGACAACATCCTTCTGAGGACATAAAATTGCTCTGGATTTGATGGCTAAAGTTAAGTTCTATTGGCAGGGAGTTTATACAAAGTATTATCGCCAGAAAGCCAGAGGCCAGAGCATAGCCATGGATGCTTAGAATTGCTGTGAGGTGAACACCACAGACTTCCAAAGAAGACTGAGGGAATATTTCCTTGCTTTATACTGGGCTAGGCCTGAAGCTACACTGAAAAAGGAGTCAAGATGGCTTATTCCAGTTGCTTTCACAAAGACAACAAACCCTATGAATATGAAGGACGACCTTCCCAGAGTAACGTACATGTACTGTTCTCAGAAGTCATATACCGTGGCTTTGGCAATATTCTATTAATCACATAGGCTAGCTCTATTCAGAGGTGGAGGGGGCTACACAAGGGAATGAAGACTAGTGGACAGAATCACTGGGAGCCATGATGGACGCTGCCTGCCACATTCACCCAAAACCAATGTACTAGTGCCTACCGAGGAACAAAACACAACGTCCCTGCTTTCCTGAAGCACACATGCTTGGAGAGGTCGGAAAGCCAATGGATCTAATCATTAAGAAAATTTTATTATATGCTCTATAATTTGTGAAGTCCCATGTGTTAAATAAAATTTACAGGAGGCCATTGGTTTGGACTGAGCTCCTGCCCTAGGCTCAAGAGACCAAACCAAAATGCAGTCACTCCTGCTGAAGTTCTTCGCCGTCAGGCCAAAAATAAGTTGTTTGTCTGACCTTCCAAAAAATGAGGGGAGAGATAACAGGCAAATCCCCAGGCAGGCCAGTTTTAGTCAGCACATAAGGAAGTCCCCTCTGCTTTAACTTTTACAAGGAAAGTAACTTTAAAACAATTAATCTGCTTTTTGTTCTCTTCTTTAGCCCTTTTCTGTCTATAAAGCCAACCTCCTCTGCTCGGCTTACTGGAACACTCATTCTATTTTACAGAACGAGGTATTGCCCAATTCTAGAATCTCAAATAAAAGTCAGCTAATGTCTTTAAACTTGTTGTGACTTTGTCTTTTGATATATGAAAATAGACAACATGGAATAAAAGGAAAAGGGAATGGTGGAAGTTGGGATTGTAATTTCAAACAGAGACATCTAGGTAGGATTCACTCAGTACACTTGAAGGAAGTCAGGAAATATGCCATGTGGTTTTATGGAAGAACAGTGTTCCAGCACTGGGAACAGCAACTGCGAAGGCCTGAAGTAAGAATGTGCCTGAGGTGTCCAAGAAACAGCAAGGCAGAAACAAGATGGCTATAGGAGAGATGCAGGAGATGAGATCAGATAGTAACAGTAAGAGGACAGCGACTATGTGGGCGAATGTATAAAATGGGAAGCCACTGGATGGTTCTTAGCAGACAACTGATACTATCTGACTTAACATTTAAAAAAGTCTCATTCTGGTGACTGATACCAGAATTGACAGGCCAAGGGTAGAAGAAAGAAACAAATTAGGAGGCTCTTGTAAATAGTCAGACAAGAGGTAGTGGTGGCTTACAACATTATCAGTGTAGGTGGTGAGGCATGGTCAGATTCTGGAGTTACTGTGCATTATTAATTTGCCATTCTAGGCAAAGTTCTTATTTAAGAGGAACAGCATTTTTTATTAGATTCCAGATTTGTTGCTGCCAAATGGTGCTTTAGGGAACCCTGCACAAGTTCTGAGAAGCTTCATAGGGATGTGTGCGTAAGAGCAATGAAGTGGGTCAGAGGACTGAAGCTTTATGTCCCCTCCCCAGTTTCATAAGGGCAGCTCTGCATGAACATTCTTCAAATTGGGGGATGAGGAAAGCCTTCAAAAGAAAGACTAGGAACCCCAATTCCCCAAAAGAAAAGACAGACCATAAAAACACACGCACACAAACTGTATAAAAAATACAACCCCATTTACAAAATTGAAAGGCAAACTATAGGTAAAAATATTGGCAACACAAGTGAAGAAAGTTCAATATCCCTAAATTTAAAAAACTCATAAATTCATAAGAAAACAATCAAGTAAGAAATGGGCAAAGGGTGTTTCCAAAATGAGGCTCATAAGAGTACTTCCTTCATTGAATTGTTGTGAGGATAAAATAACAATATATATATAAAGTATTTAACACAGTTCCTGGCACAGAATGCTCAATCAATTTTACCCAACACTGCCACCACCATAACCACTGCTGTTGTCATCGTAACTACCACGGTTGACACCTTTACCACCACCCTGACGTTATCATCACCACCATCACCACCATCACCACCATCACTACCAGCACCAGCAACTTCATCATTGTGACAGTGTAAGAACGATGGCAATGCAAATCTGAGTCAACTCTGAAGGTCAATTCCAATGCAGCTTCCCCCCAAGTACATTCTTCACTGCAAGTGATCAATTACATATTACCTTTTCATGGTTTTCGATTAGGATCTCAATGACAATGTTCTGAAATTTGATGTCCATGATGGCTGCTACTGTTTCTTCCTGAGGCCTCAGCAGAGTGGGTCCAAACACTACGCCAAGGTTTGCCACCGTCATCAAATTCTGCTTGTGGTTGTTAGCAACACTGGAAGGAAGGAAAAGAAAAGGTACCAGTGAGAGAAATTGTGTACACAGAGATACCAACCTCCCTGTACCCTTCCTATCTTCCTATCTACTGACTCCTCATCTATAGGAGCCAGAACTTGGGACATCATCAGATGCCACAGGAGTCAGAAAATCTACCACATTTCAGAAATCTTCAGCATCCAGGTTAATTTGCTATTTCAGGATATGACACTCTTTATCATTTCCATTTTGCCTAGAACAACCAACCAACCAAAGCAACTATCTGCCAAATTACTAACCTTTGAACATCTGAATCCCTGTTTTGCAAGTCCAGGTAACTGCTAATCCCTCTTAATTACAATTTATGTACTTGGCAGCTGCTTAAACTGCAATCATTAGCATTTTTCTCCATGGCAAATGGAAAACCTCTTGATGGCTTTAATACATTTGCAAACATAAGCACAAAATAGACATAATTTTTTAAACGGGCAGATCTGGATATTTAAAACCAAGTAAGGAAATTCTGCACTTTAGATTTAAAGTATTAAAGGCTGATCAGATTAAACATGTGGCTCACATTAAGTGAAATGTGGCATAAACAGAAATAAAAATGCACTAGTGTATATTCATCTATATGGCTGTGTTTATATTGTCACATACTCAAAGTCTAACAAACACACAGGGTCAACAGTCGCTAGGTCTGAGTAATTTGCTAAAGACATAGGCATATTTTTGAATAAACAACTACTCAAAAGATGTATCTGAACTCCATACGCAGGCCACCAGGACATAGCAATAAAACTCAATTGTTCACTTGCTGGCCCCATGTATAAAAACATATAAATCATCTACTGGCAACAAATAAGTTAAAAGTTAATGCCATTCAGTTTTGTTGAGAAAATATCAAGAACTTTCCTAAATCACCTGTTACAAGAAGGAAGCTATTCATTACTAACTTGAAACTAGAGACAAATTGGGTAGAGATAGGCAGTTTGCACAGACCTACCTCCCTAGCATTTGGTGCTATTTATATGGAGTACTTTTTCACACAATTCTATAAATGCCTGCAGTGTTTCTCACTGTTTCTCTGGTATACATTTTTTTTTTTTTTTTTTTTTTTTTTTTAAGGAAGAAAAGAGATTATACTGCCTTAAGTGCTGGTTTTTAAACTGAGTCTTTATTGAAATACTGTATCAACCAATTTTATTAGCAGATGTGTATTTTTCTATAATTTTTTTAGGGCTGAGAGTTTAACTTTCTCCTCTAAAGGTGGGCAGAGCATGGTTAGGTTTATGAAACTTTAACTGTGGCACAGCCCAGTTAGAAAGAGGATTTGCTTTTTGATTGCTAAGCAACACCTGCAGCAGGCAGAGTGGCCTGTTTCTGATCCACATAAAGAATATTTTATAAACAATTTCTTAGTTCTTGCCGAGTCTCCTGGTTTTACTTATGTTTTCCATTCTACCCAGAATCTCATCATATTTCCAGTCTGACGAAGTTAATGCAGATAGTCAAATTCTGACCTGGCAAGGGGGAGAGACTTTGGTTCTGTGTATCAGCCAATCGGCAAGTATGTATATTTACAAGCTGCTTTTAACATCACTACTTTCAACATCAGCTCCTCTGTGTGGGAAGGGAATTCTAAGTCCTTATACTTCCCCTCCCAAAAGAGCTAAGTCATTAAACTTACCCTCTTGTCACAAAAGTCCCGTGTGCAAGTGAATCAACAAGCTATTTTTTTTTATGAAAGTACCTTCAAATTGTAGACCAGTATAAAAATAACATGGTTTGGATGATAATCATTTTTTCCTGTCAGGCTTCTCCACACTACATCTGACTAAAGCAACAGCCTCCTAACTAGGGATCCTGACCCAAGAACCTCTAACTTCAGCTTTATCCTCCCTGCTATCAGCAGCTCCACCTAAAACTCAGCTCTCAAACCTCCCCTGGCGAGAACACAACAGCATGGCATATGTGAATGGTTAGCAATGCTTTTATTGTTTAATTGTTCTGATAATGATGACTGTAAACCTGTCATGGGCCCCACTGTTTTTCTTTCTTTCTTTCTTCTTCTTCTTTTTTTTTTTTTTTTAAACAAACAAGGCCTTTCTCTGTCATCCAGGCTGGAGTGCAGTGGTATGATCATAGTTCACTGCACCCTCATACTCCTGGGCTCAAGAGGTCTTCCTGCCTCAGCCTCCTGAGTAGCTACCACTACCACACCTGGATAGTTTTTAAATTTTTCTGTAGAGACAGAGTCTTGCTATGTTGCCTAGGCTGGTCTTGAACTCCTGGTCTCAAGTGATCCTCCCAGCTTGGCCTCCCAAGGTGCTGGGATTGTAGGCATGAGCCACTGTGCCTGGCCTACCCGATTATTTTTAACACAAAGTCTGAACTCTTATAAAACAGCATACCTCTCCTCAAATCACCCCTAAGCCTTCCTGTGTCACTTCCCAGCTCTTGGTCCCTGGGCAGAGTGACTCAATATTTCTAAGCTTTGGGTTCCTCATCTTTAAAAAAAAGAAGAGGTTAGGTGAATAACATACCTAAATGTTGTACAGATTAAATGTGATAATGCATGGGATATGTGGTAATTATCATACTAATCCACTTTTCACTCTCATTCCACTTCCACACCTCTCTGCCTTTGTCCATATCATTCCTCTGCCTGGAATGTTCTTTTGCTGCTTTCTTTGCTTGGCAAACTGCTAATATGCAAGGCTCAGCTCAAATGGCCCATTCCTTTCTGTACCTTCCTCTCACCTTTCTCGAATCTTCTATTCCCAAAAAAGGCAGAAGTGTTGGCCTGCTCCTGCATTTATTACACAGTGTTGTCATCCCTACCAAGGCCTGAGAAGAGGAAGTATGGTATCTCATTTGGTAGTACCAGTGCTGAGCACACTGCTTGGCACAGGAGATGCGTAATGAGCATTTACCGAGGCATTAAAAGATGAGCGGAGTTCCTGAGTAGGCCTAAAACAATTATTCCCAACCCAGCTACTTACTCATTAAACTTCAAATTATTGTTGATGATTTTTGGGGAATGTATCTCAACTATCCCCCAACCTCCCTTTTTAAAGTCTTGAGCTAGTTCCACTTCTTAGGCTTAATTAATGAGTAATAATTACTCTGATTTGCAGGCCCCAGTGCCCAAAGGCATTTGGAAAAAAAGGTATTGTAATTCTGGATTAGCAACTCTGAATATAAATAAGCTTGAGGTTACCCAGCATAATTCATTTCCCTTTTAATGATCCATGTTATTTTAGAACTTAAAAGACACATTGATCCAAGTCTTAGGAAACTTTTTTTTGGGGAGAGGGGGTAGTTACACCTTTCATTATTAATGACCATTATCTTTCGGCACACTGAAGTAATAAATCGATCTGTCACTTGATTATTACTGCTCACAACTTGGTACAGCTATGTTCATTACTCCAGAATGAATTATTAATGGCTTGAGATCTCTATGTATCCCGGACAGAAAGGCCTAGACCTCAGCCTCTGCAGGCACCAGCCATCCATTATAGCTGGATGAATTTACAGATGTGTGAGAAACAGGCTGGCAGAGCACTGGGGAGCCGGTCCAGCAGGGGCCACGGGACTCGTTCATTAGCAAGGTCTATAAAACACAGAGAACCTGCTGTTTTGTTAAATTGAGCTGTCTGAGTTCCTCCTCACACGGCTCAGGATGTCATGTTGAGTCTTGACTTAAAATCTACACAGAGAAGTTTCCTGTACACTTCACACTGCAGTGAAGGAGTCTGTGACACATGCCTTTCCGATCCCTACATCCACGGGCTATAACGTCTTTTGAAAGAACTGCCAATTCTATAGGCTTCCTCTGGATGCTGCAGAGAAAAAGTTTTGCATGTGACATTCACTTGGGAGAGACCCAGTTTCTTCTGTGATCATCAGAATGGCTGCATCCACTGAGAAGCAGTGGATCTCCTGAGGGGCATGACTTTAGGGCAGTTGTTGGGGGTGGGGAGGTACATGTACCCCACATTCCAGGCAGTTCCCACATGAACTGGAATCAATGAGGAAAGAGCATGTTCCATGGAAATGGCCTTGGCAGAGGGGACTCTTGCCACCTTTGCTTTAAGGGGAAATAGATGGAGATGCTGTTTTGGTCTGATATCCTTTGAGAGGCAGAAGGAGGTAAATCACTTCCAGATAAAGATGGTGGTGAGGAGGGTGGCAGAGGGAGCACTATGACGAGCATAGACAGTAGCCAACCCTTGTGGGGCTTGTAAGGCAGAGACCCCCAGGTTGTCAAAGGGATCACATCTGTTTTCCTAGAGTTTAAACAAGAGCCAGAGCTCTATAAGTGCTAAGTAGTACTTTAAAACACTAGACTGGTCCTAAAGTATTCCAACAAAAGCTTATTGTAGGGATTGCAGATACGTTTCATCTTGAGGCCTAGAGTGCTGTGTTGAAAAATGTCAGAGAGGAGTACTGGCTCCACTGGATACAATGTAGTGACAGATTTGCAGTGTGCCATGGGTTGGAGGGGTGGAGCAACAGCCCATCTTACTTGTTTGCTTCAGCATCCAATATTAAATAGGAACTTAGGCTTACAGAGCATTTTAGACTTTTTAAAAAAGTTCTACAACTTTTTATGTTTATCTGACCTACATAATAACTCTACAACAGTAGCGCTCAAACTTTCTGACAATGACCCAAGGTAGGAAGTATATTTTCCAAGCAATACACACAAACATAAACAGATAGGCACACACCCCCACACCATATCAGAAACAAAAGTTTTCAGGAATAGTAAGTATGACACATTCTGACACTTTCTATTCCCATCCTATCCTATTCGATTCTATGTTTATCCAATACATTGTTTTCATGAGCCACTTACATGTCATAAACTACTATTTGAGAAACACTGCTATAGAGGTATAAAGTGCAAATATTCTCTCCAATTTGCAAGTCTGGACAATAAAGCTAAGGGAGATCACAGCACAGTAGTTGGAGTCAGACAGACATTACCAGCTGGATGGCAGCAGGCAA